TGGAACAGATTTATCCAGCACTACTGGAGGGGGGCGAAAGAGTAGGATTGGGATCGCAAAGGGCAGGGTAGATAATCAGCTCACGTAGATGGATTTCCTGGCGCCTCCTGGCGCCAGGAGGTGCCCATGCATGGAGGGATGGGCCAGAAACCAGCTGCATGCAGCAGATTCCGTGAATCCTTTCCCTATCCACCCTGCTACAACGAAAAGCTGCATAAACATAAACTATGGACGCTCCGCAGATTTCTTGATGTGCGGTGGGGCCCCCTGCCGGCGCCTCCAGCGCGGCCCCTCGCGCGCTCCGGTAGAGGGGTCCAACGCCGATCCAAGAAATCCGCGAGGAGCTCCAAATATTATGTTCATGCAGTCCGTTCTCCGAGATAGGCAACACGCAACACGCAGCGTGTTGACATGGAGCTCAACACGGAGATTGAAAACGAAGATCTGGCGCGTGCCGAGCCAAGACGCAGCGTGTGAACACGGACGTTGTGAATGCTGCACGCGATGCGTTGCAAAGCGAGCGCATCAGGCCCAGACGCCCGACGTCATGCTTTTTCATTGCGTCGATCCCCAAAGGTCTCGACCCATTCCCCAGGACCGGAATCTCATCTGAGTCGTTCTTCGACGCTCCAGAGGCCCTGGAAAGGCCCCCGGAGGCCAAAAATTAGGAAAAGCCTCCCGTCATGATTTTTTCATTACCCGAGGCGGTCTGGGGGGCAGCTGAGCCTCCTACTGGCCGTGGCGGAGCAGGATCAGGTCCACGGAGCCGACCGGCTGCACGCAGGAGTGACCCTGGGCAAGAGTAGCCTTAGGTCGGGCGTGTCCTCCGACAGGCGGATTGTGGACATGATAGATAACAAATAATCAGAAGATGCTCAAACATACTTAAGAAATGATAGAAAAATGGTCCCCTGATTATGTTTTGACCATTTTGAAGAATCCTCCTGTAAAGGGACAGGCCCGACTCAACCCTGGGCAAGAGTAGCCTCTGGTGCGCGGCCTGCTGATCCTTGCATGCGATGCCACGGTGGCGGCCCGCGTGCTTGGGCTGCCTCCCGCCCCTGAGATCCGACGTAGCGTTAGGTCGGGCATGTCCCCCTGCAAAAAGATGTTGGACGAATAAGTAAAACAGTCCAACAAACATTCAAACAATTATTGTCAAACATAGTCAAAAAATCGTTCCCAGACTATTTTTGGATTACTTTTGAATATCCCTCCTGGAGATGGACAGGCCCGACTTAAACGCAGCGAAGAAACACTTAGCATCGCGACACATCAACGACTTCGGAAACCCTGCACCCAAAACAGTTTTCATCTCTTGGGAGGCCGACTCTTATTTCCCGAGGATTCGGCCGAACTTCCCCCGGCTTCCGCCGGCGGAGGTGGCCTCGTGTCGCTTCCGCGGACCTTCCGCCGCCTTCCGCGGCGGAAGAGATGACAACTCTCTCGACCCTTGAAAGCAAGGGCCTTAATAAAAACAGGAACCCTAGACCTTATCTTCATGCCTCCTTCTTTGGGCCAGATCGATCTGCAGGTGGCCCCCGGCCCGAGCACAAGCGAAAACACCTGGCGTGGAAAAATGCAACGCCCAGATCCCCAAACCCCCGACGTTATGAGTTGTTCATTACGTCGATCCCCACAGATCTTGACCCATTCCCCATGAACGGTTTCTCATCCTGAATCGTTTTCTGACGGCCCCGAGCCCCGTTAAGGGCCCCGGGAGGCCGACAATTAGGGAAAACCTCCCGTCATGATTTTTTCATTGCCCGAGGGGGTTTGGGTCTCAGTGGCCCCACCCCACGCCCCCCCGGAAAGCAGCGCACTACAGTTCGCTCTGGCGGAGGGCCGCTCCCACGTGCAGCCGAGCTGAAACCCACGCCCGCGGCACCCGCCGTCGGCATCGCGCCGCCAGATCGGCGGGCCGCTCGAGCCGCTGGGACACGGCTGTAAGGAGGAGGAGGGGGAGGAGGAGGAGGAGGAGGAGGAGGAGGAGTAGCAGGAGGAGGAGGAGGAGGCCACTGCAAAACCAAGAGTCATCAACGGTATTGGAATTAGCCCTCCCTCCAAGCTCCCTCTTCAGGGGCCCCCACAACGCTTCATTTCCATAGAGGGAACTGCCTCGTTGGAATACAACCGATAGAAGATCCTGAAGCATGCCAAAACATGCTTCTCGGGACTTCAACGCATTTTTCGGACTTCAACACCGCGAATCAACATAACTGTTGCACCCGCGTAATCCTGAATCCTTCGAAGACGCAATGTTTGTTACGTTGGCCATGGCAATCCGTGAAATTCTTGCAAAGGTTGAAAACCGATGTGCGCGGCGCTAAGGCGAGAACCACATTCTGAAAACCACCCGCCCTCAATCCGCGAAGCTCTTTGCGAATTTTGAAGACGGATGTGCGCGACGCTAAGGCGAGGGCCACATTTTGAAAACCACCTGCCCTCAATCCGTGAAACTCTTGCAGGTTGTTCAAGCGAATGTGCGTGGGTCTACGACGAGAGCCACATTTTGAAAACCACCCGCCCTCCATCTGTGAAGCTGCTGTCATTTTTTAGCTTCAGAATCATAAATGGCGAGGAAGTCTCATTCGAAACGCCCAGCCCGCCCTAAGAACTGGCTTCGGGGTGTGACAGGGAGGAGTTACCTATAAGGAGAAGGCAAGGAGGTAGAGGAGGAGGAGGAGGAGGAGGAGGAGGAGGAGGAGGAGGAGGAGGAGGAGGAGGAGGAGGATGGTTACGACAATTTTCACAGACATGCGACGTCTTTGTTTTTCCCACTGGCGGTCCCCAGGAGCCCCGACCCTTTCCCTGGGGCTGGTTTTTCATCCCGATTCGTTTCTTGACAGTCTTGGGGCCCCGCGAGGGCCCCCAGTGGGACCTTTCCCTGGGGCCAGTTTTTCATCCCGAATCGTTTTTTGACAGTCTTGGGGCCGTGGGACGGCCTCATGCTTCCACAGTGCGGTGCGGCTGGCAGCGGCGCATGTCCGCATACCCATCGCGCGAGACTGAACTGGTTCCACTGCGGGGGGGAGGGCCAATTCCAACCGCGATGGTGGAAGGGGCCCTGGGACGCACAAATAAATAATACACACAAATAAAAGGATTCACTATATTTTCCTATATTGTCTGGGTTTTTGTCTTTCCCCCCAATTCCCATATTTTCCCATATTTTCGGGGGAATCGACGATTAATTGTGTCTGTGTGTTTTTTCCCCTCCTGAATGGTGGCAGCGGCTTGCTAATGACGGGTGCGCGCCATGTGCCGCGGCTGGTCCGAGGAGCAGGAGGGCGAGGACGCGAGACGGAGGTGGGGGGGGCAATTCCAGCCGCGATGATGACAGCATCGCGACTGCAGAGATTGTCGAATCTGACGCTCTTTCTGAACAGCCTTGAGGAAACCGAAAGGTACCGATACCGCTACCCCCCCGACCTCTCCCGGGGTGCGTTCTGACCCGGATTTCGAGGTGAATCCAGCGGTAGTGACGAGGGCCTTCCAGGAGGCCCCAAAAAGAGGAAAACGGGCGAGGGGGTAGAGGTATGGGTACACGTCGTTCATTTCTAATCGTGCTCATTTCTACTTGTGCTCGTTTCTAATTGTTCCTGGCCCCCTGGTGTCCAGGAAGAGGCCCAGGATAGACCAATTAGAAATGAAAGGATCTTGGCCCCAAAAAGAATTCAAAGAACTTCGGGACAATTAGACACGAACAATTGGTACCTTCTCCTCCTCCCAAACCTGGGTCGTAGAGCGTCCCGCGGCGTCGCCGCCCGAGGCGGCAGTGGGGGTGTATCGAGACCGCCCTCGGCCACCCTGCTGAGGCTTTGTGGGCCCCGGAAACGGCAAGGCCGTTTTTTCACCGTTTCCAAAAAATGTCCCTTGAAAATGGAAACGGCAAAAACACGGCGACCGGAAACGACAAAAAAAAATCTCCAGGATTGGAACCGGAGCCGGAACCGGTCAAACAACGGCGACGGAACAGGTAAAAAAACGGCACAACGGAACCGGTAAAAAAACGATACAACGGAACCGGTAACAAAAACGGCCCTGTCGTTTCCAGGGCCTACTAAGGCCCCCACAACGGTTCATTTCCATTGAGGGAACTGCCTCGTTGGAGTACAACCGATAGAAGATCCTAAATCATGCCAAAACATGCTGCTCGGGATTTCACACATTTTTGGGACGTCAACACCGCGAATCAACATACTTGTTGCACCCACGTAATCCTGAATCCTTCCAAAACGCAATGTTTGTTACGTTTCCAGGGCCCACTAAGGGCCACCCTGCTGAGGGGGCCATGTTCTCGAGGCCGGCCCTGGAGGCCCACCCTGGCGGCTGCTGCGTGCGAGCGTGCGCAGAGCAGCGCGAGCCAGGCGCGGGTGCATCGGGAGGGCAGGCGCGGCACGCCCAGAGGGGGGCCATGCCCGAGATTGGGCCGCCTCCGAGCAGGAGGAGGAGGAGGAGGAGGAGGAGGAGAAGGAGGAGGAGGAGCAGCAGGAGGAGGAGGAGGAGGGAGGAGGAGGAGGGAGGGAGGAGAAGGGAGGAGAGGAGGAGGAGGAGGAGAGGAGGAGGAGGAGAGGAGGAGGAGGAGGAGGAGGAGGAGAGAGGAGAGAGAGGAGGAGGAGGAGGAGGAGGAGGGAGGAGGAGGAGGAGAGGAGGAGGAGGAGGAGGAGGAGGAGGAGGAGGAGGAGGAGGAGGAGGAGGAGGAGGAGGAGGAGGAGCAGGAGCAGGAGGAGGGGAGGAGGAGGAGGAGGAAGGAGGAGGAGGAGGAGGAGGAGGAGGAGGAGGAGGAGGAGGGGAGGAGAGGAGGAGGAGGAGGAGGAGGAGGAGGAGGAGGAGGAGGAGGAGGAGGGGGAGGAGGAGGAGGAGGAGGAGGAGGAGGAGGAGGAGGGGAGGAGGAGGAGGAGGAGGAGGAGGAGGAGGAGGAGGAGGAGGAGGGAGGAGGAGGAGGAGGAGGAGGAAGGGGGGGAGGAGGGGGGAGAGAGACTGCGACAGCGGAAACGTCAAGGGAAGAAGCGGGGCGGGGCGGTGACCGCCTCGAGTTTGGCTGCCTGCGCCTCGAGTTGGGCTTTCGCCTGCTCGTGGTCGATGTCCTTCTGGCGGAGCTCCTGGGCCCGGCAGCCGCTACCCCGTGCGGGACGCCTCCGCCACCGCCCTCGTGCACACACCCGCGTGGCGGGGAGGAGGAGCAGGAGGGGGAGGAGGAGGAGGAGGAGGAGGAGGAGGAGGAGGAGGAGGAGGAGGAGGAGGAGGAGGAGGAGGAGGAGGAGGAGGAGGAGAAGGAGGAGGGAGGGAAGGAGGAGGAGGAGGAGGAGGGGGAGGAGGGGGAGGAGGAGGAGGAGGAGGAGGAGGAGGAGGAGGAGAGGAGGAGGAGGAGGAGGAGGAGGAGGAGGACCAGAGTAAACCCAAGAGTCATCAATGAAGTTGGAATCCCACCAGCCCTCTGGGCGCCGGTGGTTTAGGACATTGCCTCTTCCACCCCTCCCTCTTCCCCTTCGGGGAGGGGTTTATCATTGTTCCCTATTAATAAACACCCCCTCCCCCAGGCGACTGGGGGGCCAACCAGGGTCCATGACGACCCCCCCCCCACCACTCCTTGCAAAAAAACAATGCAAAGCACACTCTGCCTCCAAATTCGGAACATGCGCAGCCAACCCGACGCGCCCCCCCCCCTCCCCCCGATCCCTGTCAACAAAAACAATGCATAGTACACTTGGCGGCGGCGGCGTCTGCGGCGGCTGCGGCGTCGGCGGCGGCGGCTGCGGCGGCGGCGGCGGCGGTGGCGGTGGCGGTGGCGGCAGCGGCTGTGGCGGCGGTTTCGCAGCGGGGGGCGGCGGTGGCGGTGGCGGCGGCGGCGGCGGCGGCGGCGGCGGCGGCGGCAGGCGGCGGCGGGGCGGCGGCGGCGGCGGCGGCGGCGGCGGCGGCGGCGGCGGAGGCGGCGGCGGCGGCGGCGGCGGATTGGCCCCCAGTAGCTGCCCATCCAAAGACGACTGCTGACTATGCTCAGGCTCGGGCCAGACTCGGGCGCTACGTATGTGTTGGGAGGGCGGGTGGGAGTGAGCGACACGGCTTGCGGGCGGGGAGGGGGTCTTGACCCCTCCCCCTACCCCCTCCCCTCGACCTGAACAGGGGGCGCCGCGGGTAGTTAGAGCGTCCAAAACGGCCTCGGCGAGGAAGCCAACATCATTGATTTTACTAAGTTTGGGCACCATTTTGGCCTCCTGGGGGGGGACCTTAATTGAGGGACTCCCCTTCGTTGACCGATCTCCTCCAAGATGGCCCCAAGAAGCGACCAGGAGGCCCCAAGAGGTCCCAAGATGGCCCCAAGATGATCCCAAGAGGCCCCCAGGAGGCCCCCAAGAAGATCCTACGCGGCCCCAAGTGGCCCCCCCGAGGCACCCAAGACCCCGAAGAGCCCTCCAGGATCGCCAAGAGACCCCCAAGACGTCCCAAGCGGCCACCAAGAATCGCCCGAGAGATACCCCAAGAGGCTCCGAGAGGCATTCAAGAGACCTCTGGCCCTTGTGCTTGCCCTCCTCCTCCTCCTGTTCCTCCTTCCTGCTCCTACTCCTCCTCCTCCTCCTCCTCCTCCTCCTCCTCCTCCTCGGCCTCCTCCTCATCCTATTCATCCTCCTTCTTCCCACTCCCTCATCTATCCATCCATCCACCTCCTCCTTCTCCTCCTCACTCCTTTGCACGGTTCGGCCGTCCTCCTCTTTGCTGCCGCACTTCCCTGATCACCTCAACCCGCCTGGACATCGTTTCTGAATGGGCTGGTTGGGGTACGCGAAGCGTCTAGAATTCACCCTCCCTCCAAGCTCCCTCTTCTCAGGCCTCTACAACGGTTCATTCCCATCGAGGGAGCTTCGTCGTTGGAATACAAGTGTTTGAAGATCCTGAAGCATGCCAACACATAATTCTTGATATTACATCGCCACGGATCAACCTGACTGTTGCTTTTGAAGGTCCTGCATCGCGCCAGAATGCCATTCCTGGGACTTCAACACAGCAAACCAACGTAACCCTTGCACCCGCATAATCCTGAATCTTTCCAAAACACCATGTCTGGCACGCTGATGCAAGGCAAGACAAGGTGCGCCCGAGTCCGCCGGGGAGGCGGGGCCTGGAAGGCCGGCGCGGGCGGGCCAGGGCCCTCAGTTGCAGATGTGGAACTTGTGGTCAGTGCTGTGTGTGTGGCGTAGGAACGCTTGTACCAAATTGCTCCTTTGAGTTCTGTCCTGCCGGAGCAAGGGCGGGAGTCGGAGAGATGGGAGCCGGAGTCGGAACCAGAGGGAGACATTCAAGCATTCCTGACAACATACATAATCTCTTGCAAATTATATAAGCGAATGTGCGCGGTGCTAAGGCGAGAACCACATTGAGAAAAAGAACCGTCCTCAATCCGTGAAACCCTGGCAAATGTTAAAACGAGTGTGCGCGGCGCTGAAGCGATAATCACATTGCGAAAAGAAAGGAGCCGCCCTCAATCAGTGGTTTTTGATCCAAAAGAAAGAATGTGCGCCGCGCTAAGGCGATAGCCACACTTTGAAAACGATCCGCCCTCCATATGCGAACCTGTTGTCAAATTCATAAGTTTCAGAATCTGAAGTGGTGAGGCAGTCTCAGGCGAAACGCCCGGAGCGCCCTACAAACTTGCCTCTGGGTGCGACAGGGAGAAGTTATTTATAAGGACAAGGAATGGGGGAGGAGGAGGAGGAGGAGGAGGAGGAGTAGGAGGAGGAGGAGGAGGAGGAGAGGAGAAGAGGAGGAGGAGGAGGAGGAGAAGGGGAGAAGAGGAGACGAGGAGGAGGACGAGGAGGAGGAGTAGGTTAGATGCTGCATCTGCCGCTGCTGCTGCCGCTGCTGCTTCTGATGCGCCTCCTCGTCCTCCTGCTCCTCGCCCTCCTGCTGCCCCTCCTTTCTCGCTCGTACCCCTCCTCCTCCATTTATTCCTCTCCCTACTCCTCGTGCCCTCCTTCTAGGTCTCCCCCTTCCATTCTGGGGCTGTGCTTCCTAGAGTCCACAGGAGATTGCGCAAGGCTGTTCAGAAAGCCATCCTGTTATCATCCGCCACTGTGCCCTGAGGAACGCGTTGGAGCTTCCTCAGGTCCCTTCGATCTCTCTGCGCAACTCTTCACATACCATTTAAGGGGCCGCCTGGAGTTTCGGGGCATGCATGACCAAAAATAGTTTCAGATGGCCCCGGGGACAATCCAGGAACCTTCTTGGGCGCCTCTTGGACCGTCTTGGAAGCCTTGTATGGCGGACCAAGAGACCCTAATCGTCAAAGTTCTTTGGTCTTTGTATGGCTTTCGCAATGCCGCCTTCTCGATCTTCAGAGCGTCCGTTGAGCCCTCCGCCCATGGGGGCGCCTAATAGGCAACAAGAGGCCCCAAGAGGCCCCGAGAGGCCCAAATCAGGCCCCAAAACACCCATAAACAGACTCCAAGAGGCTTCCGAGAGGCCTACCAAGAGATCCTCACAGGCATCCAGGAGGCCTCTGACCTACAACCCAGGCCCGGCGGCGGGATGGGCCGAAACTCACCTAATCCGCCGCCCATCTGGCCTTGCCATAAGGGTGCCTGTCATGCTAGATTTCAGACGGTTGATTTTGGTTCGTTTCCCAAAAGAACTCCCCCCTGGGGCTCCGGCCCAACCCGCCGGCCACCCGAAAGGGACCATAAGATCCGGTTGCAAAAATTGTTCCTGCCCTTGACGGCTCCAAGGTGGCCCAGGCCGGCCTCCAAAATGGTTGCACGATGGCTGGGATGGCCTCCAAGACGGCCCAAGAGGATCCAAGATACTTCCAGTTCTGCCTAAGAAGCCTCCGAGACGGCCCAGGACCGCCCAAGAGGCGTCATAGAGGCCTCCAAGACGACCCAAAGAGGCCTCCGAGAGGGCACCCAGGAGGGCCCAAAGAGGCCCAACTCATCGATTTCCTGAGAAGTTCCAGTCGTGAGGTCGTGGTTCGCAATCTCGGGGTTGTGGTTCGCGCTGGCCTGCGCTGTGTCCTCCTGCCCCAAAAGAGTGTGCTCAGAGGCTCCCTAGATACCCCCTCCTACTCCTCCTCCTCTTCCTCCTCCTCCTCCTCCTCCTCTTCGTCCTCCTCCCCCTCCTCCACCTCCTCCTCCTTCTCCTGATCTTCCCCGCCATCCTCCCCCAAGTGTTCCCCGAAGGGTTTCCACAACAGCTGGGGGAACACCTGGTGCGATAGCTTGGCAGGGATCTTGCCACACCGCTCGACCACATGGGCGATTCCACAAGGCAGAGGGTGGCGGTGATTCGCCGTGTGCGTCTTCGATACTACGGTCGCATAGCAGATCGACTTCGATCGGACTGCCTTGCCTGGAGTCTTACAAGCAGTCAGGTGCTATTGCTTGCTGCACGGGCGACGTGGGCGCTTGAAGGTATTAAGGGTCGGGGAGATGTGAGGCTCGGGTTCGCGGGACTCGGGCTGGCCTGATGGAGCCGTCAGGAACATGACGAGACCCAATCTGAAACTTGGCGCGCGTGGTGGCCCCTGGGGGTCACCTCCTTCCCCTTCACAAAGGGAAGGAGGAGGGAGAGGAGGAAAATAATGGTGGAAGGAGGAGGGGGAGCTGGAGAGGGAGGAAACGATGTTCGATCTCCAATCTCCTCGTTTGTTGGTTCCCACTGTTTGCTTTAATGTTCACCGCCTTGCTTTCGAATGCGTTCCTCCGCTGTGCCGCTGTGGTGCGTCCTCACTGTTTTCACCACTGCATGGCATGAACTTGTCCATCAGCTCATGCCGCACTAACGGGTGCCATACATGGCCGAATTCATTCTGGCTCAGCTGAATTACCAAAGCACTGGATCCCTCAAGATGGAATAGAAACAAGACTATTGCGCCGAACAGGGGGTACCGTGCCTCAAGCTGGAGTTTCGCCTGCTGGTGGTCCAAATCCTTCTGGCGGAGGTCCTGAGCCCGAGAAGTCATGCAAAACCGTTCCTTCGCAACCCCTGCGTCTGCAAATACCTTATTCCCCATCCGCTTGACTCATGCTGCTCCTGCGCATTCTCATCGGCTGGCGCTGCTGCTTCCTTGCCCTGTCCACACTCGTGTCATTGTCGCCGTCCTCCTCCTGACTCTCCCCTGATTCTTCCACGTCTTCGTTCTCCTCCTCATCCGTTCCCCACTCTCGTCGTCGACCTCATATGAGAGAGCGTGATCCACCGCCGCTTTACTGTTGAAAATTCCCCCCCCCTCTTCCTCCGGAACCCACGGGTCTCCTCCCCCCTCCGACCCCCCCCCCTCCCATGCTGGACCTTTCCCCCTCGGCCCCCCCCCCCTCCCTAACCCCCCCCCCTCCAGAAAACCCGGGGGGGTCACTACTGGTTCGAACCCTCCCCCCCCCCTCCGAAAAAACCGGGGGGGTCGCTACCCGAAAACCCTCCCCCCTAGAAAACCAAGGGGGGTCACTACCGGTTCGAACCCCTCCCCCCCCTTTAGAAACCGGGGGGGGCACCGGTAACCGAACCCCCCTCCTCGAAAACCGGGGGGGTCACTGCGGTTCGACCCCGGCCCCTCCCCCGAAAACCCAGGGGGGGGGGGGGTCACTACCGGTTCGAACCCCTCCCCCCCCCTCCCACGCTCACCGCCAGCAAGCGACTCCAGGGTCCCTACCACCGTCCGCACCACATCCCCCACTGCTGTCCCCAGCGCCACTGTCCTCACCACCACTGTCCCCACTGTTCCCACCACCGTCCCCACTGTCCCCACCAGGGCCCCCACCACTGTCGCACTGTCCCCACTGTGCCCACAACTGTCCCCACCACGGTTCCACCATCCCCACTTTTCTCCACGGCCCCAACCACTGCCCGACTGTCCCCACTGTCCCACTGTACCCGCCGCTGTCCCTCTGAGCTGTCCCACTGTTCCCACCACTGTGCCCACTGTCCCCACCACTGTCCCCACTGTACCTCTGTCCCACTATCCCACCGCCGTCCTCGCCACCGCCCTCACCAGTCCCCACCACCACAGTACCCTCCACTGTCCCACTGTTTCCACCACATTCCCACTGTCCCCACACCACTGTCCCCACCACCACCGTCCCCACCACTGTCCCACTGTCCTCACTGTTCCCACCATTGTCCCCGCTGTCCCCACCAGTGCCCCCATCAGTGTCTCACTGTCCCCACCTTCCCCACCATTGTCCCACCACGGTCCCACTCTCCCCACTTCCCCCACGATACCCACCACTGTCCCACTGTCCCCACTGTACCCACCACTGTCCCACTGTCCCCGCCGCTGCCCCACTGTGCTGTCCCACCGTCCCCACTGTCCCCATCACTGTCCCACTGTCCCCACTGTCCCCACCACTTTCCCCACTGTGCTACTGTCCCACCACTGTCCTCACCACCGCCTTCAACACTGTCCCCACCACTACCGTCTCCACCACTGTCCCACTGCCCCCACCACTGTCAGCGGCTGTCCCCTCCCCACTGTCCCCACCACCACCGTCCCCACCACTGTCCGCACCACTGTCCCACTGTCCCCGCACCACTGTTCCCACCACCACCGTTCCCACCACTGTCCCAGCATCCCCACCATTGTCCAACTGTCCCGAGGAGCGGGAATTGTTTGCCCAGGCGGCGAGGGGGGGGGGTTCGAACCGGTAGTGACCCCCCCTCCGGTTTTCGAAGCGGGGGGGGTGTTCGAACCCGCAGTGATCCCGCCCGGTTTTCGAGGGGGGGTGGGGGTTCGCACCAGTAGTGACCCCCCCCCCCCTTTTAGTCATGGACTGGGGGGGGGGAGGGGTTCGAACCAGTAGTGACCCCCCCACAAGTTTTCGCGCGGGGGGGGGGGCAGACGGGCTGGGACCCCCCAGTGACCCCCCCCCCCCGGTTTTCCGCCAGCAGCGGTAGAACACGCTCTTTCCATTCCAACAGTGTGGACCCTAGGCGCATCAAGGAGTCCTAGATCTTCGCATCTCAGACACGTATGCCGACCGAGGGCGGCCTGCTTTCAAAACCGTGCTCCCGCCACAACCCCGCGAACCCTCTCAAAAACTGAGCAGGTTAGCCATCACCGCTGCTATCAAGAGAACGCGTAAGCAAGTGTCAGCAATAGTCGCAGTAACCCAGCACTTTTAGCAGACATGCTTATTGTGAGCCCACTCCTCAGTCCACAGGCAAAACTGAATTCATCACTTTCCCAGCTGCTGGGGTTCTAAGCTTCTAGCGCGCCTGGCTACGATGTCTGAAACAAAGCATGCCAGCGCCTCCAAACTGTATCCACTCACCCCCTGGATGCCCCGAGACACTGTTTGAACAAAGCATGAATACAAACAGTAGGTTCGCGCTCCAAGGGGGCACGACCCAGCGTAAGCATCCACGGGGCCGGGGTGAAAATAGCGTGATCCGCACTCCCGAAGCCACTCGTGCATCTTCCAGGGCCCAGCAATTTCCGACAATATTGTCTCTGCCCCCCAGATTCCACAAGCAGGCGCTTGAACCGAGCTGCTTCGCAGGCACGGTGGCGGAGCGTGCCCGGTGAACTCAACAGGAAAATGGAGGCTCTACACCCGTCGCGCACAAAAGGAACACTGCCGTACAATCGAGAGCGAGCGTCGTGAGGGCGCAGGGCACGTGCTACCACAGCACGTGCCGGACAATGCTGATGCCGACGGCTTGAGTGACTGGCAAGTTTCCTCTGCCGTGTCCAGCCCGAGGAACCCTCAGGGCGGGGAGTGGAGGGCACGTTGGAAGAGGGATGACGAGGAGAGGACGGGCGGAGAAAGATGAGCACAGCAAGGGGAAGGATTATAAGAAGGAGGGCGACAAGTAGTACACAGGGAGGACCAGAACGGGAAGAGGCGGGGCGAACGCCAACTGGGAGTGCGGGCCTCGAGCTGGCTCTTCGCGTGCTGGAGCTCGAGGTCCTTCTGTCGGAGATCCTGCGCACAAATACCAATCTGGGGAAACTCCTCAACGCACCCTCCCTCGTGAACGTTCCTTCCTCACTGGGCCACTTTACTTGTCCTCCTCTTCTTCCATCTTCTCCTCCTCCTCCTCCTCCTTCTCCTCTGTCGTCGCAACTGCTGCTGACACTGGTGCGAGTCCGTTCCTCCTCCTCCTATTCCTCCCGCTCCCGCTCCTCCTCATCGCCGTCAGGTTACGGCTGGACCCAGGACAGAAGACCATCCTTCAAGAGCATGGGACCCTCTGCTCGCCAAGCTGAATCTCATTCGAGGGTACCCTCCCCAAGAATGCACAAACACATTCCACAAACACCGAGGAACTTAGGGTACCCTCCCCGAACCGACCTCGATCTTATACCTCGGTCCGGCTGTACTCATCATCGTTATCGTGAATCGTCTTGCTTCTCTCATACCTCTCTTCGTCCTCTTCCTCCTCGTCGTCGTCGTCCCGAGCCTGCGACCATTCAGCCACCACGACCGACAAAGCTCACTCCAGTGCGAGGAGGGGGCAGGGGGAGACAATTCATTCCAACAAGCTTGGTAGCGCTCCACCTGCAGCGTCTGGCACGAAGGCGGACGGCGACGAGCAACAAGAGGAAACGACGAGGACGAGGGAGGGACGGAACAAATCGGAACGATTGCGATCCGGAGCATCAGTTCCTGCTTGGTGGCTGTACTACCCTACTGAGCAACAATACATGCAATGATCTTCGAATAGCTCGGGGCTGTAGCCTACAGCCTCGCGGGGGAAGCCATCTGGCCGTGTGCAGGACCGCCGAGAAGGTGCACAGCCCATGACGGCCTGCAAGGGCACCATCCTCCAAGCTGCAGGAGCGTTTGAGAGAGTCGAAAGTCCCCCAAAATTCAATCCTAGGCCACGGCCCAGCAGCGGCACGACAAGGGAACGAGGGGAAGCGACCGGCGAGACGAACAGGACACACCACACACAGACCACACCACACGGAAGGCTAAGAGAAAGAAGACCGTAGGCAGCAGCAACAGCCGCGGGAGATGGGAGGAGGGGAGGGAAACACGCAGGTATTGGAATGGGCCGTGGCATCGCGTCATAAACTCAGACTGGTCAGAATCAATGCTCGGTGGCCTTGAAGTTGGAGGAGGAGGAGGTGGAGGAGGAGTACGAGGAGGGGACGGATGAGGATGAGGATGAGGATGAGGATGAGAAGGAGGAGGAGGAGGAGGAGAAGGAGGAGGAGGAGGAGGAGGAGGAGGGAGAATGGAGGAGAGGGGGAGATGGAGGAAGAGGAGGAGGAGGGAGGGGGAGGAGTAGGAGGAGGAGGAGGGGGAGGAGGAGGAGGAGGCGGAGGAGGAGAGGAGGGGAGAGGAGGAGAAGAGAAGAGAGGAGGAGAGAAGGAGGAGGAGGGGAAGGAGGAGGAGGAGGAGGAGGATAGTGGGGAGGGGGCGGAGGAGAGGGTAACGGTGAGGAGAGGAGGGAGGAGAGGCGGAGGCGGAGGAGACCGGGGACGGCGGCGAGGGAGAGGGGCGAGGCGAGGCGGAGGGGCGAGTCGAGGCGCGGCGTCGATGTGGGCGCGCCGTCGCGCCTCGAGCTGGGACTTCGCCTGCTGGAGCTCCAGGTCCTTCTGGCGGAGCTCCTGCGCCCGCAAGCCGAGCAAGCCGAGCCCCCCCCCCACGCCACCACCCTCTGGCGCGGCAGCCGCGCGGCGACCGCACGAGCTCCGCCCAAACCCACGCCGGTGGCGCTCCTCCATCTCGCTTGTCTCCTGCTCCTCTCACTACTCCTCCTGCTCCCTCCTCCTCCTCCTCCCCCCTCCTCCTCCTCCTACCTCCTCCTCCTCCTCCTCCTCCTCCTCCTTCCTCCCCTCCTCCTCCTCCTCCTCCTCCTCCTCCTCCTCCTCCCTCCTCCTCCTCCTCCCCCTCCTGCTGCTGCTGCTGCTGCTGCTCATGCTCCATCTCCTCCTTCTCCTCCTCTGCTTCCCGACTCCTGCTGGCTGCAAGGTTCGTCGCATGTAGCCTCCCTTCTCCTCCTCCTCTCCTCCTCCTCCTTCTCCTTCTCCTCCTGCTCCTCCTCCTCCCTCCTCCTGCTCCTCCTCCTCTCCCTCCTCCTCCTCCTCCTCCTCCTCCTCCTCCTCCTCCTCCTCCTCCGTGGTCCGCACCACGTGGGCCGCAGGCGAGGCCCTGCGGGCGAAGGGAGCAGCAGAAAGGGCAAGCAACCAACTGCTGGGGCGCAGGTGCCTGGTGCTCTCCGCTTCCCCCGACGACGACGACGACGACGACGACGAGGACGAGGACGAGTACGACGACGAGGACGACGAGGACAACGATGACGATGACAAGGACGACGACAAGGACGACGACGACGACGACGAGGACGAAGACGAGGACGACAACGACGACAACGACGACGACGAAAACGACGAACGACGAAAAAGACGAACGACGAATGCGACAGAAACAGCAAAAAACTGGGAGAAGCGTCCTCCTGTCGTCGGTGTTTTCCTTTCCCTCCTGCTCCTGCTTTTACATATTCTGGTCTTGCTCCTCTTCCTCCTCTCCATCCCCCCTCCTCCTCTGGATCATCTTCTTCATCCTCCTCAGGCCCTCCTTCCTAGATCCACTGCTCCATGGCCTGGCCCATCCAGAACCCAGCAGCGGTGTATGCGCCACGCCCTCCTGGCTCGGCCGGGAGGGCGTATACACAGCTCCCGGGCTCAGGATGGGGCTGGATATGCACACGTCGTTCATTTCTAATCGTGCTCCTCTCTAAGTGTGCTCGTCTCTGATTGTTCCTGGCCCCCCCCAGTGGCCAGGAAGAGGCCCACGATGGATCACTTGGAAATGGCAGGATCTTGCCCCCCCCCCCCCCAAAAAAAAAAACAAAGAACCTTCGCAGAATCAGAAACGAACAAGGTGTATGGATCTCGTCGCCCCGATCATCACTCCCCCCCGTCCCCCACGCCCGCCCGCCTCCCCCGACGACGCCGCGCAGCACGCTCCGACAGCGCCCGCCGACCGTGCGGCCGCGATATATCTCCCTCGCGGGCGCGCGAGGAGAGCCGTCTGCCCGCTCGCGGACGGAGCCAGGACGAGGATCCTCAGACGAGAGGCCCGGGCGAGGGCCACGTCGGGGGAGGAGAAATCGAACATCTCCGAGGTCTGGCGGCTCCCCTCTGCTCCCCCGCCTCCTGTTCTCGTCTGCCCCCTTCTCCTCCTCTTGCCGCTCCTCCACATCCTTCTCCCCCCTCCCCCCCTGACCTTCCAGAGAGCTATGTTTCAGCACTGGAGACCTAAAAACCTAAAGAACTAAACGAAACAGCCTAAAACCAAGACGTAGAATAGCTCTGGGATAGGTTTTTAGGTCGGGTGCTATTGTTTAGCCCTCCTGGAAGGTCAGGGTCCTCCCTCATCCACCTCCTCCACCCTCCCTCCGCCTCCCACTCCTCCTCCTCCCCCTGCCCCCCTCCCTCGTGTTCATCCTCGTCGTCCTCGGGGTCGGCTTCAGCGGCCGTGAGGCCTTCGCAATTTTGGTGTTTGGCTTTTCGCACTTTTGGTTCTTTCGCACTCTTCGACACTTTTCGCACTTTTCTACCTTTCTACTTTTCGCACTTTTCGCATTTTTCGCACTCTTCTACTTTTCGCACTTTTCGCGTCCGCCACCGGATGTTCGAGACGCTTAGATAGCCGGCTTAGAGGTGCCGAAGGCCTGGGGCCTCCCGAGAAGCTTCCGGCACATACCCCCGACGTCGTGATTTTGTCACCGCGTCGACCCCAAGAGGTCTCAACCCTTCTCCAGGACTGGCTTTTCATCCCGAGTTGTTTGAGGGTCCCGAGACCTGGTGAGGGCACCCCAGAGGCCGAGAATAGCGAAAACCTGCCGTCGTGACTTTTTCATGACCCCGATAGGGGGTCTGGGAAGTTCCTGGAGCCTTCCCATCGTGAAGGCACAAAACGAACTCTCCAGAGGCAAGGAGGGCTTCGGAGAGGCCCCGCCGCCTTCCTGGAGGCCTCCTGGATGCGGTCCGACTGGATGGGGTCGAAGGATCGCGCCGCCTTGCCAATGCACCGCCGATGTATCGGCGAAGCATCGGCGACGTCGGCGATGCATCGGGGACGTCGGAGAGGAGAAAATTGTGCCGCCCATCGAGCCGCATCGCCGATGCATCGGCGATGCGGCGCGATCCTCCGATCCCCATCTGCTCCGCCCGAATCTAGGAGGCCTACACCTTGCGAAATGCTTAAGAAATCATGGGTTAAGAAATTCATAGTCTCAGAACTTGAATAAAAAACCGAAATTTCTATTGAAATCTTAGGATTTACTTTGAAACGTTAAGAATTATCCTGGCGAAAGACCCAACCATAAGCAATTGTTGGTAACGCGTTGTGGGTGCCGCTTTCGGTGGGGCTCCATATGGGGCCACGAAGCGCTGCCTTGGATGGGGGAACCGCATGCGGACTGCGCCACCAGGGCGGGCCTTCGGTGGAGCTCCCTATGGGGCTACGAAACGCTGCCCTGGGTGGGGGAACCGCATGCGAACTGCGCCACTGGGGCCTTCGGTGGAGCTCCCTATGGTGCCACGAAACGCTGCCCTGGGTGGGGGAACCGCATGCGAACACCCCCACTGGGGCCTTCGGTGGAGCTCCCTATGGGGCTACGAAACGCTGCCCTGGGTGGGGAACCGCATGCGAACACCCCCACTGGGGCCTTCGGTGGAGCTCCCTATGGGGCCACGAAACTGCCCTGGGTGGGGGAACCGCATGCGAACACCCCCACTGGGGCCTTCGGTGGAGCTCCCTATGGGGCCACGAAACGCTGCCCTGGGTGGGGGAACCGCATGCGAACACCCCCACTGGGGCCTTCGGTGGAGCTCCCTATGGGGCTACGAAACGCTGCCCTGGGTGGGGGAACCGCATGCGAACACCCCCACTGGGGCCTTCGGTGGAGCTCCCTATGGGGCCACGAAACGCTGCCCTGGGTGGGGGAACCGCATGCGAACACCCCCACTGGGGCCTTCGGTGGAGCTCCCTATGGGGCCACGAAACGCTGCCCTGGGTGGGGGAACCGCATGCGAACACCCCCACTGGGGCCTTCGGTGGAGCTCCCTATGGGGCTACGACGAAACGCTGCCCTGGGTGGGGGAACCGCATGCGAACACCCCCACTGGGGCCTTCGGTGGAGCTCCCTATGGGGCTACGAAACGCTGCCCTGGGTGGGGGAACCGCATGCGAACACCCCCACTGGGGCCTTCGGTGGAGCTCCCTATGGGGCCACGAAACGCTGCCCTGGGTGGGGGAACCGCATGCGAACACCCCCACTGGGGCCTTCGGTGGAGCTCCCTATGGGGCTACGAAACGCTGCCCTGGGTGGGGGAACCGCATGCGAACACCCCCACTGGGGCCTTCGGTGGAGCTCCCTATGGGGCCACGAAACGCTGCCCTGGGTGGGGGAACGCATGCGAACACGACTGGGGCCTTCGGTGGAGCTCCCTATGGGGCACGAAACGCTGCCCTGGGTGGAACCGCATGCGAACACCCCCACTGGGGCCTTCGGTGGAGCTCCCTATGGGGCCACGAAACGCTGCCCTGGGTGGGGGAACCGCATGCGAACACCCCCACTGGGGCCTTCGGTGGAGCTCCCTATGGGGCCACGAAACGCTGCCCTGGGTGGGGGAACCGCATGCGAACACCCCCACTGGGGCCTTCGGTGGAGCTCCCTATGGGGCCACGAAACGCTGCCCTGGGTGGGGGAACCGCATGCGAACACCCCCACTGGGGCCTTCGGTGGAGCTCCCTATGGGGCTACGAAACGCTGCCCTGGGTGGGGGAACCGCATGCGAACACCCCCACTGGGGCCTTCGGTGGAGCTCCCTATGGGGCCACGAAACGCTGCCCTGGGTGGGGGAACCGCATGCGAACACCCCCACTGGGGCCTTCGGTGGAGCTCCCTATGGGGCCACGAAACGCTGCCCTGGGCGGGGGAACCGCATGCGAACACCCCCACTGGGGCCTTCGGTGGAGCTCCCTATGGGGCTACGAAACGCGCGAGAGGTGTGCCGAGAGCAGAGGCAAGGAGGGGGAGGAGGGAGGAGGAGGAGGAGGAAGGAGGGGAACGCGGGGCACCGTCTCTTCAAAACGAGGACCCAACACCACAGGATGGTTGGGAATAATCGAGACTCTGGCCGAAAACTTAAGTTTTCTTAAGCATCGCCTAAGGTGTAGACTTCCGAGAAAAGGCTCCTCCTTCCCTCGCGTCCCCCATCCGGGGGGCGCGCCGTCGACTCCCGCGGCGCTCCGCGCTGGAACACGCAAAGCACGCCGGCAACGTCTCGGAAGCGGCAACGTTTGCGCACTGGCACTGTCTCGGGGCCAGCGCGGCCAAACCCCTGCCAGTTTCAACAGGCACTGCTGTTTTCGCACCAGAAAAAACTCAGGAGGAGGAGGAGGACGAGGAGGAGGAGGAGGAGGAGAGGAGGAGGAGACGAGGAGGGCATGCCCTTCGAAAACAAGAGTATGGCGGCGGCGACTCGGCAGGAGGACACTCCGAATCTGAGCGGCTTCCTCCGCCGTGGCCGGCAGGGGACGCTCTGCGGAATAGGGGTACGCGCGCCTTGACCTGGGCCTTCGACAGCTGGAGGTCCAGGTCCCTCTGGCGGATGTTGTGGTTCCGATCCTTCGCGCGCCCCGGCTCTCACATTTACGGGGCGTGAAACCGGCCACAGCCACTGCTTTTCTCTTGTTGCCGCCGTCCAGCCAGCAGAAAGAAAGCAGTGCTTGTGGTCATTTTCGTTGAGCTCGGCACCAGGGGAATGGCCACAACCACTGCTTCTTTTTCGGCCGGCTGGAAGGCGGCGCAAACAAGAAGCAGTGCCTGTGGTCATTTTCCCGTCCCGCAACATCGCCTGTCCTCTTAGCACGCCTTCGTTCTCTTCCTGTGCATGCTGCCTCGTCTGATGCCAGCCGCACGATCAAAAGAGCAACCTGGACGTACCACCAATGCTGCATGATAGGAAGCCGTGCATCGACTCGCTCCAGGGGGAGCCCAAGGCAGACAGAACTGATACTACCGCGGGAAACTCGGCACCGCATCTGAATATGCTTGGTTCTGTCTTCCTTGGCTGGCACGAGGAGGAACACGACGGAGAAAACAGGAGCAGGGGGATGGAAGAGATAAAGGCGGAGCAGTAGGACGAGGAGACACACAGGAGAAGAGTGGCGGCGGCAGAGAGGGCGGAGGAGGACGTAGGATGATGAATGGGAGGAGGAGGAGAAGGAGGAGGAGGAGGATATGGAGGACGGACAGGAAAAGGAAATGAGGAAGAGGAGGAGGAGGTGGAGGACGGACAGGAAAAGGGGGAGGAGGAGGAGGAGGAGGAGGAGGAGGAGGAGGAGGAGGAGAAGCAGCAGGAGGAGAAGGATGAGAAGGAGAAGGAGGAGGAGGAGGAGCAGGAGGAGGAGGAGCAGGAGCAGGAGGAGGAGGAGGAGGAGGAGCAGGAGAGATGGGCAGACGAGCAGGAGATGCGCAGGCAGGGATGCCCAAAGAAGGGCGCGCACACCTCGAGCTGGGCCTTCAGGAGCTGCAAGTCCAAGTCCCTCTGGCGGAGGTTGTGGTTCCGCTCCTCCGGGCGCCGCCTTGCCTCCTACAACACTGCTGCCAGCTTCGGCGGCGAGCCCCGGGGAAAGTCAGAGGGGGCCCAGGGGCCCAGACCCCCGACGCCATGATTTTTTCACACAATGTCGACCTCCAGGGTTCACGACCCCTTCCCCAGGACAGTTTGTTTTTCATCCCGGGTCGGTGTTTGGCGGTCCCGCGGCCCGGGAAGGGCCCCCGGAGGCCGCAAATAGCGAAACACCTCGCGTTTGTTTCCCAACGCGAGAGGGGGTCTGGGAATAGTGCGTAAACACAAACTGTTGGAGGTCCGCGCAGATGCCTTGGATCGCCGCTGGCCCCTCTCGGCGCCCGGGCGCCAGGGAGGGGAGCCCAGCGCGGACCCAAGAGAACCGCGTGGATCGCCAGCAGTCCATATTTATGCCGTGTCATGAGGTTCCTCCACTTCTGCCAGGACTGGATTTTCATCCCGAGCCGTTCTTTGACGGTACCTCCACTTTCCCCCGTCGTGTGTCGTTCAAAACGCTCCCTACGCAGCACTCGAGGATGGTGACCCTGGCGCGCCGTTGACGGCAACACCACTGCGCTCTCCCTCCGGGACTTCGCCCCCGGCTCCTGTCCAACGCGTACCTTTTCCTGTGCAAGCTCTTCGGCACCGCCTGTACTAGCTCCCTCCGGCCGCCTGAGGCCCCGCCCGCCCGCGCCCTGTCTCCCCAATTAGTGCTTCGCGCGCCCCGCCTAGCTCTTAACCGGAAGAGGCCCGACCAAACAAATGTGTTGTTCAGAGCGCGAGGAGGTCCGGGGAGGGGGCCGGACCTTCTCGGACGGCTCGGGAGGCCTGCCGCCGCCCGAGGCGTGCTCTGAGCATGCCCGGAGGGCGGCGGGGCTTCTCGGAAGGCTTCCCCCCGGGGCGCGGCACCGAGTGCTGCTCCTCCACCCGAACTGGCACGAGTAGGATGCTCCTCAAGAGGAAGAGCAGGAAAAGGAGGAGGAGGACGAGAAGGAAGAGGAGGAGGAGGAGGAGGAGGAGGAGGAGGAGGAGGAGGAGGAGGAGGAGGAGGAGGAGGATATGGAGGGTGTGAATCAGATTGAGGAGGAAGGGAAAGAGGAGGAGGAGGAGGAGGAGGAGGAGAGGAGGGAGGAGGAGGAGGAGGAAGAGGAGGAGGAAGAGGAGGAGGAGGAGGAGGAGGAGGAGGAGGAGGAGGAATAGGATCGGAGGTTGGGGGGTGAGATCGAAGCGGAACGGTAGAAGCCTCCCAGATGGGGTCGGAGTAAATGGGGTCGGAAGATCGCGCCGAATCGCCGATACATCGGCGATACATCGTCGATGCATCGGCGATGCATCGGCGATGCACTGGCGATGCATCGTCGACGTTGGCGATGCATCGGCGACGTCGACGTGACGCAAATCGAGCTGCACATCGAGCCGCATCGGCGATGCATCGGCGATGCGGCGCGATCCTCCGACCCCATCTACTCCGACCCCATCTAGAACGCCTAGAAACGGAGAGCCCCCCTACCGGGAAATCGATTTCGGTTTCGTGTTCGTGCGTGCCGTGCGGGCGAGGCGAAGCTGCGTGGGCGGGCGAGAGAAAGTCTCCTGTGGCTGAGGCGCGGCCGGAGCAAAAGAACCTTGACCGGGCGGCCGGTGCCCCGCGGTGCCCCGCCGGTGTCCCGGTGGTGTCCCGTGTGGCTGAGGCGCGGCCTGGGCAAAAGAACCTTGACCGGGCGGCCGGTGCCGCGCGGTGTCCCGCCAGTGTCCCGCTGGTGTCCCGTCGGTGTCCCGATGATGACGTGGATGATTATGATGATGATGGTGATGATGCTGATGGTAATGGTGATGATGATGATGATGATGATGATGATTATGTTGATGATGGCGATGATGATGATGTTGGTGTCGTTGACTGGCATGGGCGGAGACACGGAAAGAGCGGCCTGTGTGTCGAGCGGCATGTGTTTCGAGCGGCATGGTGGGATCGTGTGTGAGATCGACGGTGATCTCCGCAGTGAGATCGATCGAGTGAGATCGAAAGGGATATCGTTAGGGGAACCGATAGTGAGATCGATAGTGAGATCGATTGTGAAATCGCTGGTGAGATCGATAGTGAGACCAGCCGACAGAGATCGATGATGAGATCGATTGTGATATCGATGGTGAGATTGATCGAGTGAGTTCGATTGAGTGAGACCAGGAGGGAGATCGATACTGAGATCGATAGTGCAAGAGGCGGCGCGGGCTGCGCCAAGCTTTGCCAGCGCTTCAGTCTTCTGTGGCCAAATGGCGCCGTTGGCTGCCGTTGCGCAGGTTGGGCAGGTTCCCAGGGGAAGGGTGACGTAAACAACTCGACACCAACGCCCCCGAGAGCGAGCGGCAACGCAACTATCTCCACTGGCATTCTCACGACAACATTCACCACTGTTGCCCATTGCTGGCCCCCCCACCTCCTTATCACCCGCAAGGTCGTCGTATAGGTATGCAGGATTTGGAGTAAGAGGAAAAGGAGGAGGAGGAGGAGGTGGAGGAGGAGGAGAGGAAGAGGTTATGGAGGATTTGAAGGGTACGGACTCAGACTGAGGAGGAGGAGGAGGAGTTTTTTTTTAACCCGCGTGCTCGCGCCCACGAACGGGTACCCCTGGTCTCGGCACCCCGAGCAAGCGCGCCGGTGGCGCGCCCGCCGCAGGGTGGGCCAGCGGCCTCAGCACGTGGCGCCCTTGCCTCCCGCCTGGGGCGACTGTTCGCCCGGGAGCGCACGGCGCGCTCGCGCCGGCACGACGACACGACCCGACGGGGGACGACGCACGACACGACACGAAACGCACGACAACGACGGGACGAGCCGCCGGTCCCGCCCCAGGGCGGCGAGTGCAAGGTGGGAATCCTGCACCGCCCTGGGGGAGGCCACGGGACCTGGCGACCCCCCTGGGGAAGGAAGGCCGCGCTTATGGCGGCCGTCCCCAGGGTGCGGGGGCTTGTGCCCTGAAGGCCCGGTGCTCCCCGCCTGCACCAGGGGGCACACAGGCCCGACCCCCACTCTTGGGGGGCCCCTCCAGGGCTGAGGAGGAGGAGGAGGAGGAGGAGGAGGAGGAGGAGGAAGCGGAGGAGGATGAGGTGGGGGAGGAGGACGAGGAGGAGGAGAACGACGAGGAAGAGGATATGGAGGATTCGGAGGGTACGGACTCATATGGAGGAGGAGGAGGAGGAGGAGGAGGAGGAGGAGGTGGGGGAGGAGGAGGAGGAGGAGGAGGAGGAGGAGGAGGAGGAGGAGGAGGAGGAGGAGGAGGAGGCATCCAATGCATGCAAGACATCCAGGCATGCGGGAATCCTGAGCATCTTGGAACGTTGGAGGGTGCGGGGCGAGCCAGGGGCGGCCAAGAGGGGGGCGTTCAAGAGGGGGGGGGCGTAAATCATGGCCGGCGGCATGTGCGCGGCCCAAGTTGGGGGGGCCAGGGACGCATGGAAAGACGAAGAGGCGCCATGAGATCTGGGGAGATATCATGGCCCCCGCCAAGATATCCACCCCACCCTGGTCATCACCCCCCTCTTTCCCGCCCGCGATTGAGATCGCAATGGAACGGAGAGCCCCACCCCCCCGGAAATCGGTTTCGGCTTCGTGCTCTTGTCGTGCGCGCGGGCGAGGCGAAGCTGCGTGGGCGCGCGAGGGGAACGACCATGTCTCCTTCGTGTCCCGTTGGTAACCCGTCCGTGTTCCGTCGGGGGTGGGCGGGTGGTGGCTGGGGGTGCCCCGCCTTTGTATCGATGGTGGAGTCGATACGGAGATCGATTATGAGATAGCTAGGCTGGGATTGCCAATGAGATCAAAGGTGAGATTGACAGTGAGGTTGATTGCGACATTGGTTGTGAGATCGATCGTGAGATCGAAAGCGGGATCGATAGAGGAATCGATACTGAGATCGATAATGAGATCGACTGTGAGATCGGAAACGAGATCCGTAGTGAGATGTACAGTGAGATCGATGGTGAGATCGATGGTGAGATCGATCGAGTGTGATCGATCCTGTGAGGTCGATGGTGGAATGCATCGAGTTAGATCGAAAGCGGGGACGATGATGACAGTACATAGCAGCACACCATCGTAATCACGCGACGTCGCCAGCTCGAGAGAGCGTCCCGTCCCCGGCATCGTAACCATCACAACCATTGCATCTGTTGCCAGCAGTTGGTTCTTTGCCCCGCACTCCCAAATCTCCTGATCACCCGAAGTGCGGTCGTATAAGGTATGCATCATGATCATGACCTCTTGCTCCTCTGATGAGCAACCAAAGAACGACGAGGCTGACCGCACAAAGGTATGGCGACCTTCTGCGATGGCCTGCAGGGCCGCGAAGGTGGCACACCACGTGACCAAGATTACACTTGAGCCCGTCTTCACGTGGACAGATCGCGAGCGAATGCCCTCGCAATCGACCGGATGCTTTTCACGTCGCTCGCTTCATGTCTCCGTCTCCGGAGGCACCCCGAAGGTCCCAGAGGCCTCCGGAAGCCGGCAGCGGGCCAGAGATAGCCAAAACCTAACGGTCACGCCCATACTCGAGCCTCGGTCCTCCCCCGCGCTCGACCCCTCCTGCCACAACTCCTCGCTGGTCCGACATCCTGTCGCGATCGCGAGCGCGAGAGCCATCTGCAGGCTCCCTGCACCCAAGCCCCAATCGACCATCAGATAACTCGATCCATTCCCCGGGACCGGTGTCTCATCCTGAGTCGTTTGTGGACGGTCCCGAGGCCCGGTGAGGGCCGCTGGAGGCTGAAACCTCCCGTCCCCATAAATCCGATGTCGTGACTTTTTCAATGCGCGGTCCCCCGAAGTCTCGACCCATTCCCCAGGACGGGTTTTTCAACCCGAGTCGTTTTTGACGGTCCCGAGGCCCGGCGAGGGCCCCCAGGGGCCGAACTTTGCGAAAAACCTCCGTCTTGATTCTGTCAGTGCGTTGGATCTCTGGGCCGTGCTGTCTCAACAGCGCGAGGGGGTCTGGGCCTGCCCGCCCCCTGGACTCGGCTACACGCAAGAGTGCCCCTGGGTAAGAGTAAGAGTGACCTTTGGTGCGCGGCCTTTGGGGGGCCGCGGGGGGACCAAACTCAGGCGCGCGAGACGCTACTATCGCATCGCAATCGGTGATCAGGGGACCCCATTTTGCCCGCACGCCAAAGGTCACTCCGGCGAACGGTCACTCTTACGTGTAGTCGATGGACGTGGCGAGGCAGGAGGCGGCGCCTGCCGGGCAGGCGCCGGCGAGGGCCGTGCCGCTGCGGGAGGGGCCTGCGGATACCGTCGGGGCGTCGACCTAAGGAACCCTGAATAAGGAACGAGGCCCCTTTTTTCCATAAATTCAGCCTCGATTTCCTATGGAAGCCCTCAGGAACACCCGAGGCAAACTTTGAAACAATCAAGGAACACCGAGCCCCTCGCCAACGAGAAGCGTTCCTTCTTCAGCGCCCCGACTGTAAGCAAAGAGGCAAGCTGTGAAACACTTAAGGAACATCGAGCCCCTCCCCAACGAAAAGGGTTCCTTCTTCAGCGCCCCGACTGTAACCCAGCAGCAGTGGCCACAGCGGCGGCCCGACGGGCTGGCAGCCCGACAGGCGGCAGGCGGGCACGGGGGCGAGGGGACCACCGAGGAGGGCAAGGGGCGCGGGGTGCAGCCTGTTTTCTGTACAGTGGGGGCGTTGACCGAAGGAATCCTAAATATGGAACGAGGCCCCTTTTATCCATAAGTTGAACTTCGGCTTCCCATCGAAAACCTGAGGAAAAAATCGGGGACTCTTTGCTTCGGCTCGGGAGGGCAAGGGGCGCACGGGTGCGCAAATCATGACCCGAGGCATGTGTGCGGCCCGGAGGAGGGCCCAAGGACGTATCACTGTATCGAAATACAGTCGGGGCGTTGACCTGAGGAACCCTAGATAAGGAACGAGGCCCCTTTTTTCCCATAAGTTCAACCTCGATTTCCTATGGAAGCCCTCAGGAAAACCCGAGGCAAACTTTGAAACAATCAAGGAACACCGAACCCCTCGCCAACGAGAAGGGTTCCTTCTTCAGCGCCCCGGCTGTATGCGCCGGTGGACAAGCCTCCCATGTAGTACACCACCCTTTCGTGAGAGCGGCCTGTAGGACCGAAGCCGATGGAAACTGAGGGCCGCGCCGCCCTCTCGCGAACCGAAAACGGCCAATTCGCTCATCGACGTGTCAGGGTAGGAGGTCGATATCAACCTCCGATATATAGTTATACACTACAGAAAATCCCAATCAGTGGATAGTTTGATGAAGCGTAGGATCGATAAAGAAGTCGATAAGGAGATCGACCGGGAACCCGGGAACCCGGGAACCAATCACCAAGAACCCGGGAACCCGGAACCCGGGAATCCAGCCGGCCTGCAGCATCGGCGGGGAACTCTCGCCGAGTCCTCCCATGTCCGCCAGGACCCCTCTCGCAGTGCGAGCGCTGATCGGGGACTCTTTGCTTCGGCTCGGGAGGGCAAGGGGCGCACGGGTGCGCAAATCATGACCCGAGGCATGTGTGCGGCCCGGAGGAGGGCCCAAGGACGTATGACTGTATCGAAATACAGTCGGGGCGTTGACCTAAGGAACCCTAGATAAGGAACGAGGCCCCTTTTTTTCCCATAAGTTCAACCTCGATTTCCTATGGAAGCCCTCAGGAAAACCCGAGGCAAACTTTGAAACAATCAAGGAACACCGAGCCCCTCGCCAACGAGAAGGGTTCCTTCTTCAGCGCCCCGGCTGTATGCGCCGGTGGACAAGCCTCCCATGTAGTACACCACCCTTTCGTGAGAGCGGCCCGCAGGACCGAAGCCGACGGAAACTGAGGGCCGCGCCGCCCTCTCGCGAACCGAAAACGGCCAATTCGCTCATCAGCCCCTCCCCGACAAAAAGCGTTCCTTCTTCAGCGCCCCGGCTGTAAGCAAAGAGGCGCCGTGAGATCTGCGGAGACATCACGGGGCGTGCGCGCCGCTGGGGGGAGCCCGGGCGCCTCGAGCTGGCTCCGCGCCTTCTGGAGGGCCACGCCGTTGTCGCGGAGCTCCTGGGCGCGGGGCGCCCCCGGCGGGGCCGCCCCTCGACGCGCCCCGCCCTGGCACGCTCCCGTGCTGGCCCCCATCGGCCGCACGTTCTCTTCGGCCACCTCCTCCTCCTCCTCCTCCTCCTCCTCCTCCTCCTCCTCCTCTCCTCCCCCTCCTCCTCCCTCCTCCTCCTCCTCCTCCTCCTCCTCCCCCTCCTCCTTCCCCTCCTCCTCTGTCGCCCAGCGCTGCAGCTGCTGAGCTTCGTCGGGGATGGGCAGCACCCCCTTTCGCAGAACGTGGTGTCATGAGAACGACGTCGTGCCCAAAGCCTGGCTGGCGCACGTCTGGAAAACGACGGCCGCGGCGCCCTTTCGAGAGCCGACAACGGACGATTCGCCAATCGACGTGTCAGGGTGGAGTCCTGTCCACCCCCGACTTCTCATGTGAGCGTTTTTTGTTCTTCGGCGTCTCGACAATGGGCGGAGGAGGGGGGGGAGGGGGGGGGGGTCTGGCTCCAGACCTCTGCCTGCCGCGACTGCTTGCGACAGGGCGTCCCAGGAGGGGAGACTCCACCTGCTGCTCGAAGCAGGTGCCCAAAAACAGCCAAGCTCTGCTCCGCGGGGGGGGGGAGGAGGGGGGGGGATAAAGGGGCCCCAGAACACACAAATAAATACACACAAATAAAAAGATTCCCAACATTTTCCTATATTTTCTGAGGTTTTGTCTTCCCCCCACTTCCCATATTTTCGCATGTTCCTGGGGATCGACGATTAGTTGTGTCTGTTTTTTTTTCCCCCTCCTGAGGGGTGCCGAGGGCCCGAGCCGATCGGCACAACCATGAAAAAAAAACACGATCACCATCGCTGCAGCTGCCGAACTTCTCATCCTCCGCTCAATCTCTCTCGGCCCGGCCGCTCTGCATCGCTCTAGGTTGCTCTTCTGCCGCTTCACCTGCTCCTCGTCGTCGTGCGCCGTCTCTTCGTCGGCGGCATCGTTGTCCTCCATCCTCTCATACTCTGCCCTTTCCGTTACTACTTCTCCTCTGCCTCCCGGTCCCTCGTCCCCATCCCCCATCTGTCTCCTTGTCTACCACCCCTCCTTCTGCCCCCAGTCCGCCCTGTCTTCTCTGCCTTGCCCTCCTCCACTTCCAGCTCCTCATCCGTCTCCTCCTGTCCCTTTCTTGCCCCCCTCTGCTTCGCTTTCCCTCTCCTCTCCTCCTCCCTCCTCTGTCCTGCCTCCTCTCGTTTCCCTTCGCTTCCCTCTCATACTCTCATCCTCCGTCGTGCTTCCTCTTCCTGTTTTTCCTCCTCATCATCCTTCCTGCCCTCCTGTACGCTTCCGTTCTCTCCACTCCTACTCTCCCCTCATTCGCTATCCGCCCCCCGCCCCTTCCCCCTCACAAGACGTCAACAAAGAGGAGCGATCATAGGGGTTCGCCGTCGAAGGAGGGGAAAGAAGGGTGGGGGTTGGGAGGAGGAAGTAGAATAAGACAAGCCCGCATAATGAACCACATACTTTTGGGGTCCAGCGCAGATCCAAGACATCCGCGCGGAGCTCCGAACATTGATGCTTGTGCCGGTGTCCTTCCTTCGAAGTGGGAAGAGCATAAGCAGGCAACACACTGGTCCTGTGAGAAACGGGCCCTGGACCCCAGAGCTCTCCCCCAGGACCAGGTCTGGATCCTGAGTCGTTTTATTGACGGAGCCCAGAGACACACAACAAAAATACACACATACAAATATCTGTGTAAGCTGGGGAGACTCCCGAGGGCCAGACTTGTTTTGCATCCGCAACTCTGTGTGATGACTCGTCCCGGAGCTCCGTGAAACGTTGACTGAACGGGCGAGGCCCCTCGACCAAGGAAACCGTGGCCCGAGACAATCACAGTCCACTGGACACTGCTCGAGCTGAAAATGGGATGGGAGCGCAGCGTGGGCGGGAGGCTTGAGCACACGTGTCAGCGGCCCTCTCCCGCTTCCCACACGCAACAAAGAATCTATGGCACGCCATTGCAATCTGTGTAAGCTGGGGAGACTCCCGAGGGCCAGACTTGTTTTGCATCCGCAACTCTGTGTGATGACTCGTCCCGGAGCTCCGTGAAACGTTGACTGAACGGGCGAGGCCCCTCGACCAAGGAAACCGTGGCCCGAGACAATCACAGTCCGAAACCTTAAAAACTCGAGCACCAGCGAATTTTAAAACCCTGGCCTTAGGCCTCCACAAACCTGCCCAGGCTCAGAAACGAATGGTTTCGCAGAGCCTGTTGGAAACACTTAGCTACCAGCCTGCAAAAATCTTTTGGGTACGGTTCTGCGATGTGCGTCCAGAAAATGCCTGAGGCATCTTTGCCCTCGAGGACCTGATGGGGGCGGCGGCTAAAACTGCAGACCCCACGACCCGAGCATTTATAGGGGATGAGCGGGTCGAGGTTGAGATGGCAGTACAGCAGCCGAGTGCGTTTGCGCCAAGGGGTCGAGAACGCACAGAAATCAAAGTCCGCAATGCGAGTGTTACGAATTCGAATGAGACTGCGCGCACCTGGAAGCTGCCACAACCAGGATGCGCTGGGATTCTCAATCACTACTGGTATGTTTAAACTGCGGGCAAGCAAGAAAAGAGAGAAGCTGAAAGTGGCAAGTGCGTTTCCTCTCTCGACCTTGAGCTGATCTCCTGGCGACAGGCCTGGCAGCCCCAGCGGAAACAAAGCCGTCCGCAAGGGTGGTGGCCCGTTGGGGCGGTTGCGGGCGCGGCTCATGGACTGGCAGGGCGTCGCAATCCAGATCGCGACGATGAGCCGACTCCGCACCCAGCCTCGAACCTGCTGCCTGATCCGCCTGAGGAGGAGGTCGCTGTCGGCGTCGTGGCGGATGTCCAGCTCGAAAGCGGCATGCTGCGAATGGAAACGCAGGCGCCACGCTGCCGCCATCCGCCCGGAGCCGCTGAAGACCTCCAGGAAGACGCCGGATCTGGAATGTCTCACCCACGATGCCAGCTCGCCGACGGGGTGGCGCCAGGCCCGCGGAGCGCCTGCTTGGCACGTAGCGGCAGGGCGCGCGGCAGCCCGCGAAGATGCTCCTGCACCTGCCTCCCCTCGGCGTAGCATTGAAGCGCGGCGTCGGTCGACCACCTGGCGCGCATGCGGATGTCCCGCAGAGGCCGCGCCGCCGCGAACAGCTCGTGGCTTGCGCCATTGTGCCCGTGCATCAGGTTGCTCCAGACCTGCAGGCCGAGCCCGGCAAAGACGGCCTTGACGTGGCCGCTCCACTGCGCCTGGGCCACCGGAAAAGGGCGGTGGCCACCGGGCGTCCGGTGGTGCGGCTCCTGCTCGGGGCGTGGCGCCCTCGGGGAGCGGGTGAAGCCCGCCCGCAGGGTCTCGTCGAGCATGTCTGTCATGGATGGGGTCTGCATGTCGGACAGCTGGAGGACCATGCACCACTGGTGCAGCGCCACGGCAGCGGTGAGCCTTGGCGGGATGAGCTGCGACTGCACGAAATCCAGCGCCTCGCGCGGCCTCGGGTACAGGTCGAGCGTGGGCGCGGTGGGCCCAGCGTACTCCTCCAGGCCCCTGCAGCACAACGTCACCACGATGAGGCACACCACAGGCCGTGAGAGCGTCAGCCGCGGCCGCGGCCGCGGCGGCGCCAGGCAGGACCAGGTCTTGGCTGCCCGTGCCGCCCACAGCTGGCGCCACTGCCGCGGCCCGAGGGTCGAACGCACGAAGGCAAAGGCCGCCATCAGCATCCACACGGCGCTGCTCTTGCCCCCGTCCAGGAACTCCTCCAGGAGGGTCAAGCCCTGGCGGGGGGCCGCAGCCGGGAGGAAAAGAAAAAGGTTCGCCTCCCCCCGCTGACGGACTGCCCAGCGGTCGCCCTCGGCTGGGCGCGCTGCAGTCTCCGGCGCTGCATGCGGCCTGCCCTGCAGCTGGCGAGCGCCCACAGCACCCGCAGCCGCAGTCGGCCTCCTGCGAGCCCGCATCGCCGGCGCGGCAGGGGCCGCCCTGTCGTCGAGGACCGACACCAGCATTGCCGCCGCCATCCTCCCAGAGGCCCAGCGCCTGGGCGGGCGGGCAGGACGCGTCGAGCTTCGATGTCTTGATCCGCACGGCCTCGGGGGTGTCACCAGCCTGGTCACGAGACGCTGGATCTGCGCTGTTATGTTCTGATGGGACCCAACGCCAGATAGCAGATGAACCTGAAGCCAACAGAAGAGCACATGCCTGACGACAGATTCTCAAAAGCGGGGGCGACGATGATCTGCCCTTGAGAAGGGCCAACACTGGGGCCATGGAGTCATTCAAGATGATGTGCGTGGTGTTGAAGTTTCGAGCGGCTCGCAATCGATGTTTCAGACACAAGACTAAGGCTCTCCCCTCCAGCACCACCTGAGCCTCCCTCCTGGTCCACGGTGTAGATAGAACCCGATGCCATCCTTCCGCCCAGACCTCCTCGGGCACCTCCTCGAACGTGATTTCCTCCCCCTGGTTCGGCTTCGGCTCGACTCGGAACGGGACCTGCTGCTCCATGGCTGCTGCTATGACTGCTGGATCGCGGTAGGGCTCCGACGAGGCTTGCTTGATGCATGACGAGGTGATACGCTGAGCTTGCTTGCTCTCCGAGGCTAAGGCCTTGTCGCGAGGGGCAACCTGTTGCTCGCCATCCCGACTGAACCTCCATCGTTCGTTGAAGATAGACAAACGACGAGCTTGGTCCGAGGTGATGGTCTTCTCTGTCACACCAGCGCCCCACCACGAGGCGTCCACACAGGACGCGACAGGCGACAAGGGCCGCCCGGCGCCTCGAAAACACAAAGGCAGCAGTGCGCGGCACCAGGCCAGTTCCCGTCTCACTGCCGGCGTCAGCCGCCGCCTCTCGCGGCCGCCGTCGCCCATGAAGCCGTACACGGCCCCTAGGCAGCTCAGCAGCTCTCGACGAATTAGCGCCCTCGAAGTGAAGTGCGATATCACCTTCATCATGGTGTGACCGCTGCACCAGCCTTGCTCCAGCAGCTCGCCGATGCCGAGGCGAAGCCGCCAGCGTAGCCGAACGCTGAGGCCGATCACGGGCTTGTCCTCGTCAAAGTGCCAGCCCAGCGTGTCCCCGCCGACTGATGCCTCCACGGGGTGCGAGGGAAGGTCTGAAGCAGTCAGCTCCCCCTGTACTGCAGTAGCTGCATCACGCACCTCGCGCAGCCTGTGGGACAGGGCGATGAAGTTGTCGACGTAGACCGTGTGCGCCATTCCCTGCTGCAGGTCAGGCGCGGGCCGACGGTCCACAAGTCGACGGCCAAAATGGCCCGGAAGCGCTCGGGCGGTCACCGCCTCGTTCAGGCTCTGGCATATCCATAGGCTGATGCTCCAGCCCATCGGCGGGCACCGAAAGCACGGTACCACCCAGGCCGAGGGTCTCACGGGCGTGCCGTCGGACAGGTTCACCAGCCCGAGGTCGCCAGCCCTCACCTTGGGCAGCCCGAAGTAGCGGCGCAGCCACTGTGGGAGCTCGATCTGGTAGAACGCGTCGCAGATGTCGACCCCCCCGATGCTGATGGGCTCGTCGCCGTCGACCGAGATCTGGGCGAACGCCGAGCCCGTCGCCAGCTCCACGGGGTCTGCGGGCGCAAACCTAAGCGAAGCGTGCCTCCCGTCGAGGATCATCCGCAGCGACCCGTTCTTCTTGCGTACGAAAAACATGCCAACGTAACACTCCGCCGAGCTGCTGAAGTCCACCAGCCCGGCGCTCATAAGCCGCCGCACCACCATTTTATAGAGGCGCGGGTTGCGAAGGGCAGGGTCCGTGTAGAGCCGTCTCGGACCCACCTCCTTGATGCGCTCCATCCCCAGCTGTTGGGGCAAGAGTAACTCTTTCAGCCGGCGAGCGATGTTCTGGCCTGCCATCTCGTCGATAGCCTCCAGGGCGGCGGGCTGGCTGCCGGCAGGAGGCAGGGAGATGGAGTCGACGAGGTCGAAACTCACCGGGGCAACCAACGTGGCGTCACCCTCGTATGATTGAGATATCCGGAGCTCCTCGAGGGCTCCTGGACCGTCCAAGCCCTCTGGGCACGGGCCAAACCTCACAGCGGCTTGTCGGAGCTCCGAGAGGACGAGGGCGTGGCCAGCGGCAGGCACCGGCATGCCAGCGGGCGCTTGACGGCGCGCCACGGGCGGGCAGCCCCACAGGTCGTTCAGCGCGTCGGTCATCTCCTCGACCATGCCGTGAACGTGCGACCGCTTCTCAAGGCGCCTGCGCACTGACCTTGAAGGCGGGGAAGTCGTAGTGGGAGAAGAGGCTCCAGCGCCAAAGTAGGGTAAAGGAAAGAGATCACGCTGGCGAAAGTCGGCGCTGGAGTGGGAAGCCTCATGTACAGGTAGATCCGCTGTACCCGCGAGGCCCACGGGCACCCCCTCTATCAGCCTGGTTGACTCTCGGGCGAGGGGCACCCGAGAGCCGCCCGCGTCGCTCATGATGTTTGAGCGCGACGCTCCTCACGGGCCATCCTGATCTGCTTCAGGTTCCCTGCGTCGCGCTCCATCTGGTTGGAGACGTGCTCCAGCAGCAGCGGGCATATCCTCGAGCGGCCATCCTCCTTGGCCGCTCCTGTGAACACCGCCGCTTCGTCCACGATGCCGTACCGGGGGAGCCCTCCTCCCCGACCTCGGCCCTTCTTCCTGCCGTTGCCCTCATCGCCGCCCCTCGAGCCTCCCGACTGCTGCGCCTCGAACTCCGTAGAAGGCCTGTACTCGTAAAGCTGCGCCTGACGAATGGTCAGCTCCGCCGCCACCAGGTCGAGGATACCCCACTGGTCCCAGCACCCGAGCTGCTCGATCATCCTCACTATGCTCGCACAGTGAGCGACCCCGAGATCCTCCCTCGTGAGATCGGAGAAGGCAACGAAGCGGTTGTAGTGCTCCACAGGACCGTTCCTCGGCCTGTCGATGAACTCCGCGCACCATGGCATGGTCCCGATCCCGTCGAGCAGCCACCTGGGGAAGTGATTCTCCACCATCGTCGGCACCGCCTCGTGCCATCCCAGTCGCTGCCAGGAGCCGCCAGGTCGAGGTGGCACGCCCAGCAACCTGACGTCCGCCCCGCCGACCGCGCACCGGGACACCAACGGATCCCACGAGATCCTACGGATGGCGCCCCAGCCTGCGGTCAGTCTCGGGAGGCCGATGTCACACTCGGTCCGCTCGGCCCCGTTGAGCAGGACAGCGTCGCCACGATTGCCACCACCGGTGCTCTCGATGGGCACCCCCAATGGGGCCTGCACGGCGGGCGGCCCAACCACTCCGGCCACGGCCGGCGGCGCTGCGCCAGCGGCGCCCGCTGCATGGGGCGCCGGCGACCGGCCCGGCGGCGGCCGCGAGGGGCCCTGCGGCGGGGGCGGTGGCGGCGCCGGCCCGGCCCGCGCGCACCAGTGGCGCGGACGGCGCTGCTCCGGCGGCGGCTCCGCCCGCGGGCCCGTGAGCGGCCGGGCCAGCGCCAGGACCGCCTGGTCCAGGGGCGGCTGAGGTGAAGTCGAACTCCAGGTAGGAGCCGCCAGCGAGGAGCAGGTGTGGCCCGCCATCAACGCGCTCGCGGTCCGAGGGCAGCTCGTCAGCCCCCTGCACGAGAGCGTCCTGGATGGCGACCGCCTCCCACGTGCTCGGCACGCGTCTGAACCCGTATATCTGGTTCGGGTCCACACCCCGCAGCGCCTGGCGCGTCGGGCTGAAGGCCACGGTGACGATGTCTGTGCTCCTCTGACCGTACCGCTCCTCGTACACGACCTGAGCGGTCGCCTGGCAGTGGACCACACCACACGAGAGGGCAGGGCACGACGCCGACGGGCTCGCCGGCGAGGAGGGATACGAAGGCGCCGTAGGACACGTCGGCGCTCGCGATATCCAGGCCGCCAGCAGGCTGGAACTTGCGCCCAAGAGCCACACGAAGGGTCTGCTAACCATCCGCGCCTCTGCCTGGACAGGTGCCCCCAGCTCGCTGGAATAAAGGCTTGAGCACACGTGTCAGCGGCCCTCTCCCGCTTCCCACACGCAACAAAGAATCTATGGCACGCCATTGCAATGTTCTCATCTTTCCTGGATGTTCGTCTTCCCCACACACTTCCATTTGTTTCCTATATTTCCCTGGGTATCATCGATTCATTGTGTCTGCGTGTTTTCTCCCATCCTGGTTTATGACAATCCCAGGGCTGAGGGAGGTCCCCAGGAACACGAAAACGGCGAAACGTCTGAGGACCCGTTTCCCTCAGGACCTGCTTCCTTCATGGCGAGGAGGAAGGCAGGGAGCCAACAAACGACGTGTGCGCCCAGCTGTGCACATGAACACGGCCGATCCGCGAGACTGGCCGCGTGATACGAACACTCGGGCAATGCGTACTGTCGAAACCAGCGTGGACTCATGTACGTGTAGGTCTCTCTTTCGCTCCTGATGAAGAGAAGGGAAGCGGGGCGGCACGAGGGCGACAAAGGATCGTCATCGTCGCCACCGCTGTCGTCGTCGCCGCCGCCGCGGCCACCGCCCCGCCGCCGCCGGTCTCACCTCAGCGCCGCCGCCGCCGACGTCGTCGAAACCTCCCCGCCCGCGCCCTTCTGGCGCCTGCGCCGCCAGAGGAGTCGCGCGCGCCCTTCCTCGGCGGCGAGCGAGGGGGGAAGTGAGAAGGACAAGGCCTCCTCAGAAGGCTCGGAAGTCCCCCGGCCTTCTGAGAAGTGTTCTGAGCCTACCCCGAAGGCACAGAGAACTTGTCAGAAGGCGGGAGGGCTCACTTCCCACCCCTCGCTCGCCGCCGACTTCCGGCGCTGGCCGTCCGTCCTGCTCGGCGACTCCCAGGGCATCCTGAAGCTGCTGCACGTCCAGCTTCCTCTCCTCCTGCTGGGCCGGCCCGGGTACTGCCAGCAGCGGCCCCAGCGAGGAGCGTCCCCAGCCTGCCGGCCACTCCGAAGCCCCATTGGGCCCTCTGGGCCTCGCGAGGGGTGATCTGGAGGCCATCCCCAGACATCCTGCCGCTCGAATTTTTGTTCGATGCGTGGCCCCGGATGTTTTGACGGTCCCGAAGCCTAGGGAGGCCCGCGGACGCCGAAATCGGCCCCAAACCCGCCGCCTCAATCTTTCTTCGACGTCGGATCTCTGGGTCTGGGCCTCCCCGGAAATCCTGGGGACGCCGTGGGCAAAAGGACACCCGTGGCAGCACCCGAGCGGGGAGCGACCCCTGGGGGCACCCCTGGCGGCACCCGTGGCGACGCCCGTGACGGCACCCGCAGCTTGCGGGGGCCGCCAGCGGCCAGCGCGGCACGCTGCACTGGAGACGAGGGCGCTTACGCGCGACCTCGCGCGGGCAGCTTGCGGGCCAAGGTCGGCGAAGACGACCCCGTGTTCTTCCTGCGCCGCTCAAGTGGGGACACCCGTGGCGGCACCCGAGCCCTCGGAAGCCCTCGGAGTCCCTCGGCGGCCCTCGGAAGCCCTCGGCAGCCCCGTGGGGGCGACCCCTCGGCGGCGGCCCTCGGAAGCCCCCGGGCGGCCCTCGTATGCCTCCGGCGGCCCTCGGCGGCCCCCTCGGCGACCCATATCGGGGGCCCTCGGCGCCCCTCCCCCCCCCACGCTCGAGACTCGAGAGCCCTCGGCGGCGCCGGGAGACGCAGGTAACTCGGCTTCGGGGGGCTCGGGCTGGCCTGGCGGGGCTTCGGTGGCAACTCGTGGGAGCCTCCCATACCATCTTGTCGGCTCCCGCGAATCGACGCCAGTCGACTCCAAGTCGACGCTAGTCGACTCCAAGTCGACGCTAATCGACGCTAGGGGCTAAATCGGCACTCCCAGACGCTGGTCGGCGCTAGCCAGCGCTAAAGACAAAATCAACGATTTGCTGCGGAACGGGAACATCATGACAACGACGAGACCCAGTCCGAAATCTGACGCGAGCTCTCGCTGAAAACACCCCACGAAAACCGAGCCGTCGAAACCCAGAGCGAGTTCGTCAGAAACCGAAAGGCGAACACGAGCTCCGGCGCACAGTAGATTCGTCTCGTGTCGACCCCGGCGTTGTGATTCAACCTTGAATGATCGGCCGTTTCCGAAACGTCAGCTCGTTCAACCCTGACCTTCCAGGAGGGCTAAAAAATAGCACCCGACCTAAAAACCTATCCCAGAGCTATTCTACGTCTTGGTTTTAGGCTGTTTCGTTTAGTTTTTTAGGTTTTTAGGCCTCCAGTGCTAAAAATTAGCTCTCTGGAAGGTCAGGGAACATCGACCGATTCTGGGTCGCCGGCGGCATTGTGCGTTGAGCGCCGGCGGCGGGGTCGCCGCCGGTCGACACCACGCGACCCTGCCGCACTCGAGTCTTCTAGGCTTCCCCGAGCGGCACTCCCAGACCCCCGACGTCGAGTCTCTCATGACGTGGACCCCCAGCGGTCTGGACCCCACTCCCCAGACCCCCGACGTAATGATTTTTTCATTACGTCGACCCCCAGAGGTCCCGACCCTTTCCCCATGACCGGCTTTGCATCCTGAGTCGTTTTTTGACGCTCCCGAGGCCCGGTGAGGGCCGCTGGAGGCCGAAAATTGGGAAAAACCTCCCGTCATGATTTTTTCATTACTCGAGGGGGGCTGGGTCCCCAGGACCGGTGTTTCGTCCTGAGTCGTTTTTTGTCTGACGGTCCCGAGGGCCGGCAATGGCACCCGGAGGCCGCAAATCATGACAGGCCTCCCGTCGCGGGGA